GACCAGAGGTGCACTTCCTTATTGCTTTGTAAACTTAGAATTTTTTAAAAGTTGGATTTGTGTCTTGGGACAGGATCTCACCCTCATACCCAGCTTCAGGGGAATTGATTAGTAACAATTTAGATAGATAGCATTATTTACATGGCTAAATAAGAGTTCTCCAGGGGAATACTGAAGTTTTGTTCTTTATCATGGAAAATTTAGTTTATATTTGAGCCCCTGTTTTCGGCAGGTAAGATCGTGTAGGCTGAAAGATGTCATAGGCACATTCTGAGAAGCTTTAAACCAGACTTCTGATTCTAATGGGATGAATTAATTACAGCCTCAATATTATTTGAAAACATATTTAACATTCAGTAATTTAAAGATCAGTTAATATCATTTACTGCAATATATATTCAAAGATTCAAAAATATTTTAACTTAACTATCTCATCTGGTCTAAGTTATATCTCATTCAGAGCAAAACTCCCATGTTCTTTCAGATTTTTCCTATATCATTCAGATTTTGTGTATGTTTGCCATACTGAGGTTTGCTTTTCCTAAAAGTTTACAGAAGAGAGGTTAAGAGCAATTTCTTCAGAGTCAGACAACCTAGGTTTGAATTCTGGCTTTTCCATGTATGAGATATGTAATTCTGGCTTCTGTTATTTTATATCTCAGTGCACTCTTTCTTTACAGTTATGAAAAGATGGTAATATTAAAATCCCAAAGTTGTTATGAGGACAAAATGCTATATTTTCAGAGAATCTAACACCAAACCTGTCGCATATCATAGGTCCAAGTAATGGCAGGGATTACATACCTTCGCTATGGGAATATACGAAATAAATCTAGCGACTTTCAAAGTGGGTTATAGATTACACAAAACTTTTATTTATTTTTTCTTCCAGTCAGAGCGGCTACACATAAATCAGGTAGTAGCTCAAATTTAGCAAATTATTAATTGCAGTTTCAGGGCATAAGGGATCAAATCAAATTGCATTTGACCTCAAAAATGACTTTTATTTATACCTTTGTTTAGGCATCTGAAATAGAATTTAATCTCTGAAAAGTCAAAGCACTCTGATAAAAAATAAAGTTCTGGAATACACTCACAGTTACTTTGAATGCTTTTACTATATTTGCCAGTTCATAATAGTTCTGATGGCTATAATTCATATAAATAACTGATTATGCATTTAAAAAAAACTATACAAATAAATAAGCAAAAAAATAAAACAACTGACAAAATGCTAGAGAAGTTTTGGGCAGGAATAAAATATAACAAGGGTTTCTGTTATGCACTTAGTGGCTGCTTTCAGGAAAAACATTTCCAGTTGCCTCTTTCCTTGGGTATCCTCAAGAAACTTTCACTCTGTCTGTATAACATCTAGTATTTGTCCCAATTTATACCAGTTTTGGAGACAACAAATCTGAAGTTATGGGGTTAAATGGTCATTTTACTGTTATAATGAATTGGAGATGCAATCTTAGACCTTCTAGTTTTAAATCAAACCCTCTTACCATTTTATGACACCACAGAAAATCAGTTCTTCCACTTTAAAACCACACTTGTCAAACTGAAGAAACAAAATAGCAAGGCAAGCGTTTGACCAAATTACTTAGTGCTTGGACCCAATAAATTAGCTATCGGTCCCAGGAGTATCTAGTCTCAGGTTAGTCTCTTAGGTTCTTTTTCTGCTGAAATGTTCCCACCATAATTATCCTTGTCCACTTCTATGGTTGCAGATATTCCTCCATATGTATGTTTGTGCAAAGATGACATGTCAATAACAGAATTAATGAGATATGTAATTATTTATATTTCCATTGTGTGAGTGTGTGTATATATATGAATATAAATTATGCTCAGACAAGTTTTAACTCAAAAATGACAGTATTGAAATATTCAGACATTTATTTTTCTAATCTCTTCCTTCTCAACCACTGGCTTTTGTTTGATGGAGTCATTGTTGCAAAAACATATATCAAAAAACTGTATTCATCTGGAGAACAGATATTGCCTGGAAGACAAAGCTCATTGAAAAATGAGAATCAATGAAAAAGTCCTTCTACAAAATTTTTTCAAATCAATAATCAAACTACTGAATTCACACACACACACACACACACACAATTTCCTAATAGCAGCACCCGGATAGCCTTGCTTTCCAGTTGTTTGCTGTCTGCAATGTCTGCCATTAAATCGCAAAAGCAAGATGAATGAGAGCGTTGTAACTGAGTTCGTGATCCTGGGCCTCACTCAAAACCCTGAACTACAGCAAGTTCTCTTCATTGTCTTTCTTTTCGTCTACCTTGTGGCTTTTCTTGGCAACGCGCTGATTGTCATTGCCATAATCTCCAACACCACCTTGCACACGCCCATGTACCTCCTCCTCCTGGCTCTGGCCGTCGTGGACGTCATCTGCACAACAAGTGTAATACCAAAAATGCTTGAGACCATGCTCACCTCAAGAAAGACCATGTCATATGGAGGCTACATGTCCCAACTCTTCTTCTTCACATGGTCCCTGGGTGCCGAGATGGTTCTCTTCACCGCCATGGCCTATGACCGCTACGTGGCCATCTGCTTCCCTCTTCGCTACAGTGCTATTATGAACCACCAGATGTGCGCGGCCTTGCTCAGCACTGTCATGGTTATTGCTGTAACCAATTCCTGGGGGCACACAGGTCTCATCCTGAGGCTGACCTTCTGTGGATCAAATACCATTGACCACTTCTTCTGTGAGATACCCCCGCTGCTGGCTTTGTCCTGCAGCCCCGTGAGAACCAATGAAGGGATGGTGTATGTTGCTGAGCTCACTCTGGCTGTGGGCGACTTCACCCTCACCTGCGTCTCCTACGGTTTCATCATCGTCGCCATTCTTCACATTCGCACAACGGAAGGCAAGAGAAAAGCCTTCTCAACATGCTCATCCCACCTCATACTGGTGTCTCTTTTCTACTCCCCTGTCATCTACACCTATATTCGCCCTGCTTCCAGCTACACATTTGAAAGGGACAAGGTGGTAGCTGCGCTCTATGCCCTCATGACCCCC